GGGTGCTTCAGACCATTCCGCCTGAAGGTCTTGAACTCAGACCCATCGGAACCACAACGCATGTCTTTACGCAGTGCGCCAACCGAGCACTCACCAATCAAACTGCTTGAACTCCTAAAAGTACCTCAAAGTCGGTCTTCCGTGTTTAACTTCAAAACTCCATCTATCACTCTGGATAAAGAGGGTGCTTCGGACCATTCCGCCTGCAGGTCTTGAACTCAGACCCATCGGAACCGCAACGCATGTCTTTACGCAGTGCACCAACCGAGCACTCACCCATCAAGCGCTCGAACTCCTAAAAGTACCTCAAAGTCGATCTTCCGTGTTTAACTTCAAAACTCCAGCTATCACTCTGGATAAATGGGGTGCTTGGGACCGTTCCTCACCCGGGTCTTGAACTCAGACCCATCGGAACTGCAACGCATGTCTTTACGCAGTGCACCAACCGAGCACTCACCCATCAAGCCGCTCGAACTCCTAAAAGTACCTCAAAGTCGATCTTCCGTGTTTAACTTCAAAACTCCAGCTATCTGGATAAAGAGGGTACTTCGGACCGTTCCTCACCCGGGTCTTGAACTCAGACCCATCGGAACCGCAACGCATGTCTTTACGCAGTGCGCCAACCGAGCACTCACCCATCAAGCTGCTCGAACTCCTAAAAGTACCTCAAAGTCGGTCTTCCGTGTTTAACTTCAAAACTCCAGCTATCACTCTGGATAAATGGGGTGCTTGGGACCGTTCCTCACCCGGGTCTTGAACTCAGACCCATCGGAACCGCAACGCATGTCTTTACGCAGTGCACCAACCGAGCACTCACCCATCAAGCCGCTCGAACTCCTAAAAGTACCTCAAAGTCGATCTTCCGTGTTTAACTTCAAAACTCCAGCTATCACTCTAGATAAAGAGGGTGCGTCGGACCGTTCCTCACCCGGGTCTTGAACTCAGACCCATCGGAACCGCAACGCATGTCTTTACGCAGTGCGCCAACCGAGCACTCACCCATCAAGCAGCTCGAACTCCTAAAAGTCCCTCAGAGGGCCTCTCAGGGCCTGAGAGGCCCTCAGAGGGCCTCTCAGGGCCTGAGAGGCCCTCTGAGAGTCCCTCAGAGTTATGGTGTTGGTAGGGATCGTTCTCACTGCTGCATTCACATTCTCAATGAGACTTTCTGATGGTACTTCACTCAGCCGTTGTAATTGGCGCCGGGGAGGCCTGGTTGTCATTCGGGTCATGATTCTCTCTCTCAGGTCAGCAGCTGTCTCGTTCAGCTCTGTTTCGCTCATTGGGGCCGTGTATCCCCTCACTGGGTGGGGACTTGTAGTTAAGTCCCCACAGTCCTGACATCCGGGTTCCTCCCTTTTGCCGTAGCATTTGTGTTGTATCTCGTCAATCTCATGTTGTGATAGCAGTTGCCGTTTGCGGATGTTGGAACACTGAGCTACTAGTTGTTTAGCGCTTAGTGTTGACTGGGGATGTCGAAGTAACCATTCCTTCCCCAGTCTTTGCATGTAACCTCTCTCACTAGGGTTACTTGAGTAGTAGCATTCCAACAGATCCACATTTTCATCTCTCGCCCATTTCCGTCTTGTTCCAGTAGCCCATTTGTCATCAAGGTGCTCTGGTTCCCCAACACCTGACGCAGACCTTGTTTGGCCGGGCGACGTCTGAGCCGGCATGTTATGCAACTTAGTATCTCTCATGGTATGAGGTAGGCAGTAGCTTGAAGGGTCTTGCCTACGGACCCAGACTGGATTCGAACCCTGCCCTCTCGGGTGATATACTGATGCCTTATGTATTGAGCTATCCAGTCAGCTATATATATATATATATATATATATATATATATATATATATATATATATATATATATATATATATATATATATATATATATATATATATATATATATATATAAATTCCCTTCTCACCCACCGCGGGTGGTTCTTATCCTCTGAGCTCGGGTCCTCTACCAGAGGCCTTGGAGCTTGAGGGTTCTGCGCAGTATCTTGGCTGTGCCAAGGACTGCACATTTCTGGACTGAGATGTCTGATGTTGTTCCTGGGATCTGTTGTAGCCACTGCTCCAGTTTGGGGGTTACTGCCCCGAGGGCCCCGATGACCACAGGCACCACTGTGGTCTTCACCTTCCAGGCCCTCTCCAGTTCTTCCCTGAGGCCCTGGTATTTCTCCACTTTCTCGTGCTCCTTTTTCCTGATGTTGCAATCACTTGGTATTGCTACATCTACCACAACGGCTTTCCTCTGATGTTTATCCACTACGACAATGTCTGGTTGGTTCGCCATTACCATTTTGTCTGTCTGGATCTGGAAGTCCCACAGGATCTTAGCTCTGGCGTTCTCCACCACCTTTGGGGGTGTTTCCCACTTTGATCTCGGGGTTTCCAGTCCATATTCTGCACAGATGTTTCTGTACACTATGCCTGCCACTTGGTTATGTCGTTCCATGTACACTTTCCCTGCCAGTATCTTGCACCCTGCTGTGATGTGCTGGACTGTCTCAGGGGCCTCCTTGCACAACCTACACCTTGGGTCTTGTCTGGTGTGGTAGATCTGGGCCTCTATTGCTCTGGTGTTTAGGGCCTGTTCCTGGGCGGCCAGGATGAGGGCCTCTGTGCTGTCCTTGAGTCCAGCTTTTTCCAGCCATTGGTAGGATTTACTGATATCAGCCACTTGGGTTATTTGCTGGTGGTACATCCCATGTAGGGGCTTGTCCTCCCATGATGTATACATATATATATATGTATATATATTTATACATATATATATACATATATATATGATGGAGGTGGATAAACATTGACGTCACGTCAGTAACTGATTTACATTTAAATGCTTCGTGTTTTCGCTGGCTGTCACGTCACGCGCGGGTCTGTCTTTGGATGTTCCGTTGACCAGTTAAGTTCTGCTGCAACAGAAGTGATTTCCAAATCTGTGCTCTGCTGTCATTATTATTTTCTGTACGTCGTCTTCTGTTGCAGCGAATCACTCTGCAGGCAGAGAGTCCCAGCGCGCATGCGTACAGTGGCTCATCGTCCCCGTCAACCAGGCGAAATGGGTGGGAAAGAAATGCGTGAAGTTAACGCCAACGCCGCGAAAAAAAGAGTGGGTTGGGTTTTCAAAATTAAAGCACAACGACAGAGATTCTATTTTGTTACTTTAGATATATTTTACTTTGCCGAAAAGATCTAATATGCCTGAATTTAAACAATCCTCCAAAGAAGAGTGGGACAAAAGAGTGAGACGCAAAAGAAAGATCACAAGTTATTATAAAGTCTCAGTGATGGTTGTTATTGCCAAGGTTTGCAAAACCAATTATAAAGGTTGTTTGGGATATTTTTCCCTTATTAATAAATAAATAAAGTAAATGATTAAAAATGCATTTGTTTGCTGTTGTTGTGTTTGTCTGATATTAAAGCTTTTTGACTATATTGAAGTCAGAAAGCAAAATGTCACAAAAGAATTGAAGTGTTTTTCCCTCCGCAATCACAAATATTTATTTATTTTTAAATATATTTCACACACCATAAACATGACAAAAAAATATCTAGACATTTTAAAACTAAAAGGAAATAATAAAAAAAGTTCACTCTGATTGAAATGGAGAAATGTACTTTAGGTTAAAGAAACATCTAAAAAAAAAAAAAAACATTTGACTAGTCCAGATGAGTCCTCTTCTTACCTAAACCAATGTACTGTCTTTGATTAGTAAATCACAATAACTATACTTTAGTGGATGGACAGTGTTATTTTATAAAATACATGGAAAGAATAATCAAATTATGTCTGTTATTATGGAGTAATGTAAGAAATTCTAAGTAATGACATTCGCAAAACAGTGAAACCACTGATTGTATATCTTGAATTAATTCTCAAACTCTGTTCAGTCTACTAACCAGGTTCTGGTTCTGCTGGAGGTTCCTTCTTGTTAAAGGGGAGTTTTTTCTCTCCACTGTCGCTGCTTGGTTGAATGCTGCAAGTCAATGACTAATTTGAATAATAAATTAAATACACTGCATTGTTTGATAAGTAGAATGGATATATGTTTGGATGAAAGTGACTGTTTTGGCACAATATAACTAAACTGAATTGAACTGAATGAGAATAAAAAAATTATCTGATATTCAGTTCAATTCAGTTCAGTAAAATGTTATTAATTCCCCAAAAGGCAATTAAACAAAATGCAATGAACAGCAGCAGTGCTTACAAAAATAGACATGTATCCACATAGAAACAGCTTAAAGAAAGTACATGAGCATGTAATGCTAAAAAGAAGTTTAAAAACTGACATGAAGAACAGTTTTAGATAAGGAGATGAAATTCTCTGGGGACAATATTAACATCAATATATGAATTGATCCAGATTTCTCATGTATTGGGTTGCTTTTCGAAGCAAAACAAAATTGCGCCATAAAAAAAAATAAATCAAAACAGAGTTAATTAAATATATATACGTATAGATGACTGGAAACAAATAATTGAAGAAGGTTGTGCTAAAAAGTTTCGATTTTCATACCCAAAGCATGGACTTTTATTTTGAAACTCTTGATCGGAAGCCGCCCTTTCTCAAACCGTTATCTTGACTCTGCCTCCTCGCTCAGCTCTGAACGCGGCCGAGCAGCAGGAGAGAGTGGCAGTGAATGTGTCCGAGGCACCGTTTAGCTGTTTAGAGAAAAAAAGAAACACACAAAAAAAACTCAAAAACTACGGCGGAAGAAGAGAGGACCAAACCCCGGTGCGGACCCACACGACCTCGGCTTTACCCTGGACTATGATAACCCTCAAACAGAGGCTGGTAATAACGGGACGCTGTGTTTTTTTTGACGACAAGCGGCTTATTGCACATCTGTAGAGCATAATGAAGGCATCCGCTATTCTTCACGGGTTTTCCTCCAGCGTTTAGCCACAGCACTATTTAGAAATGCGTCGCTCTTTAGACGTCCTCTGAAGGGAAAAAACACACACATATAGAGAGAGTCATCGAGGGGGAGCTAGCTGGTTGAGAATTGTGCTAAAAATCCTCCTCCCGTGGCCTTTGGAGGACAGTGAAGTCATTTGAGAAGGAGGAGAAGAAGACACGTCCAGATCATCATCCCTGATAGTTTTACACAGTTTCTGCAGAGGAAAATAAACGGCGCTGGCTTTCCCGTCGATCCGATCCAGACCCCGCCGGCTATCTTAATCATTCTTCCTTCAGATCTTACATGGTTTTGCCTTTCTGAGCAGCCATCGCCGACCCTTTTGTGGGCATTTATCCCCCCTCCATCCTACCCCCCCTCTCTCTCACACACACACCGTTAAATTAAAGGATGCCGGATCAAATATCGGTGTCCGAGTTTCTCTCGGAGACAACAGAGGATTACAATTCTCCGACGACGTCCAGCTTCACCACCCGCATGCAGAGCTGCAGGAACACAGTGAATGTGCTGGAGGAGGTAAGAAAAGATGGAAAAATGTGACTTTATATGTCGATCCCACCAATCTCAGGGATGCTGCTTTTATAAATCCACACCACGCAGCTCATTTAACGTGCAATCCACATGTTTGAGAGCTTTGCATAGACAAGATGCATGGCAATCAGAGAAGAAAATAACTGCACCTGTTGCTTTAAAGCTACATTTTCCCAACCATCAGCCTGTAAAAACAAATATTTTCCCAAATGCATTCAGTCAGATTTACCTAATCTATTTTATCTGTCCAACCAGAGATGTGGAGTAATAATATAATAGAGGATGAGGATGGCTTTTGTTGGAGGAGTGAAGGAAATGGAAGGATGTGCACTCAAGGCCTGCAGCTCTCTGTGTTCAGGATTACATAACTCAGGGCTTTGGAGTGTGCTGCCAGGCTGTAGCTGAGTGTGTGTGTGTGTGTTTGTGCGACAGAAAGACCTATTTTAGTCACAGGCAGTCAGATGTGGATCCCTCTCTTTCAAACATACACTCAGGAATGAGTGCATTTTTAAAAAGCGAATAAATTCAGGTCAGGTGATGTTTGTGTTTGCATGGGTTTCTTTGTTCCCAGCCCTGTCTTGGTGTGATTAAATGGAGCATCATACCAGGAGAGCAGCACACACCTTCGCCATCGTCCTCTGATGCCCAAATGTGACCTAATTCCCCCCACTTCCAACAACTGCAAGCCCAAATTACATCAGGGATGCAGTATTTAGTGTAATCTCCCATGTAAGGTAGCATGAGCTTTAACTGTGACACCCAAAGCTCCATTTGCAATGCTTGAAATACAAATTAAAGACAGTATAAATGTAAAAGAGACGATAGATTTAAACTATTTGTATGGAGTAACACATTATTTGGAAGTGGAAGGAAAATGGTGCAATGAAAATATGAAAAGTGCAGTTTCCACACATATTCAACCCACTTTACTCTGGTATTCTTAAATGAAATCCAATCAGCGTTTAGAAAACACCTAACTGGACTCTTCCTGTGTGTAATTGAACTTTGTATGACGTTTATTATTGAACATTAGTGAACTAATGGCATAATTAAGATAAATAAACACTGCAGACAGATCAGGGATGACGCTCTGGAGAAGTTTAAAGCATTATTTTTGAAACTTTGAAACATTTTACAGAGCTCCTTTCAATAAATCATCTGAAAGTATGGCACAACTGAAAACCAGAATTGCTGGAAAATGATGCTCCAGTGAGATGAGAGCAAAACTCAACCGTTTGGTATATGCAAAAACACGGTAGTGGTAGAATTATGCTGTAGGGAAGCTGGTCAGAGTTGAATGCAGATGGATGGAGGTAAATGCAAGGAAACTCTGGAAGAAGACTTTAGACTTGGTGTATGTTCTTCCAGAACGGTCCAGTCAAAGTCCAGGCGTTTGTCCCACTGAGAATCTGTGGCTGAACGTCACAGTTTATTAGATGTGAAATGATTAATTATGATGAATCAATGACTGAAATAACCACCATCTAATTTAGGAATTTATTAACTGTTACCTGGAGTATTTAGACTCAAAAAAAGACCAATTGTATATAGAACAATAACTGAAGCAGTAATAACTGAAAACTGTAGAATAAATATATACATTTTGCATTTAAGATAATAAAAAGACTGTCTGTATATACGTTTTTCCCAGAACTTCTGAAGTTGCATAATTTTAGCTTCACCTGATTAAAAGTCTGTAAGAAAATCTCTTACTAAGCACATTTTACTATCCATTTATTAACTCATTAATCCAAAACTGAATCAATATATTGCTGATGTTAAGTAAAGCAGAAAAAACTGAGCTTTTCACATGTTGAAGTATTTCTTTATCTGCATATGCATCATTTGCTACAAATAACCAAAGCACACATCAGAAGAATGCTATTTTATTGCATGTTGGGCGTTGACATGTTCATTTTCTTACTTGAATAAGAAAATAAATTATTTGTGAAAATACATTTTCATTGTATTTATAATGTTGTATAAAAAGGCTTAAGCAGTTAGATGAAAACCTGCAGAATGTGCTATTTTCTTCACCTGATTAATCAATACAATAATTGACTAATAAAATAATTGTTAGTTGCTCTCCATTCAATTTAACTGAGCTTAAGAGACTTTGCAAAGAAGAATGCAAATCTCTAGATGTGTAAGGCTGAGCAAGGTGATTCTGGAGGCTAGAATAAAAGCATGCCCCACTTTTAAGAGTTTTATTTGTAAAAACAAATCTGCTCTGCTCATTTGTGTCAGCTAAAATCCCCATATATGAGTTTGTAGAATGTAAAGACGCGGAAAAGGTTGGGAGTCGGCGTCTAAACTCCTGATTCCAGTTTGTTTTATCATATTTTTAGAAAGTCTCTCCAGAACGCAAGTCAGGGCTGTGTTTATCCTCAACATGGAGCCACACTCCGAGTCTGCTGACTTTTAACAAGGAGAAGGCTCGCATCATGAATCACCTCCCTGGCTCCGTGCCTCTGATCCGGGGAGGCTGCTGCTGCTGCAGCACAAACGAAAAACATCTGTCGGACAGGGCGGCCATGTGCGCGGCGCTTCAGTAGCCGCTCTGGAATTTCTGCAGGGATCACATGACGGAGAAGACTATTATGAAGAGCGAAAACAGAGCGCAGCATCCTCCTGGGAGTTTAAAACAAAGATGCGCCTGGAAAACTTTCAGGACGAGGGGGGAAATACACCCAAAGTAAACGCCGCGTTTATTGAAATCCATGATGTTTACGTCGCCTTTCTTCCTTTCCTCTCCAAGTAATTTCCTTGGTATGTTGACAAGGTAAATTATGCAACGGTACGGCGTAAATATTTAATACTGAAACCTGAGGGAGAGATTTGACCCAGCAGGAGAGTTGTCATTCTCCCTGTGCTTCCACTGAGTCATGAGGAGGAAAAAAAAAACTGCTGCTGCATCATGTCGTCTCAACTCAGCTCTGAGGATAAATTATTGATCAGTTTGCATTAATGACATGAAAACATTAATGTTTTGCCTTTAGAAACATCATCTCCGGTGTTTACACTCGGATCAGATCAGAAGTGAGGAAAACATGGAGCCGCCAGATGGAGAGATAAAGTTTTAAAAATAGCCACTCTTGCTTTGTCTGCCTTAGACAAAGGAGTTGAGATGTATGTGTGTGTGCATGCGTGTGTATGGCAGTGTCACTGGGGGTATTATAAGTGTGTGTTTGCTGTGGGGGTGGCAAACCGGAAGCTGGTAGATGTGTCTGGCTTTTATTTTTGCTGTCATCTTCGGTGCAAAGCAAATCGTTGTGGTGTTGTTCCCACAGAGCACATGGCAGAGAGAGAGAGAGAGAAAGTATGTGTGTGTAGCTTGGATTATTCTGTTGGTGGATTTAGAGATGACTGTTTTGTTTGTCAGATTCTGGAGATAATTTCTGTTTTTCATCAGCAGGATTTTTGCCCCTTAAATCAGAAGAAAATTCAGCAAATAGTTGACTAGTCATCTTTTTGTCTGTTCTCTTTTATAAGTGACTAATAAATGTAACATTTTTACTCATTTGAGTCTTGAAAATACTTATTTGAAATTAAATATATTCAGTTGATGTTTTTATGAGTGCTCTATTTCTTTGTATTGTCCAGATTTGTTAATTTTATATAAAATGATGGAGCGAAAACCAGAAAAATCTCTAAATTTAGGACATAAATTAGTTTTCTAATTTAAAAGCATGCCGTTAGGGGTGGATAATATTGACTTAAAGTTGTTTTTATTTATTGATCTTGTGATACTGATAAACACAATGATTTGAAGTTTTTATTACTTTTTATAGGTAGCTGTATGGCTACCTGTCACAGAAATTATATTCCCACAAATACAAAGACTGCTCTAGAAAATCATTCCCATTGGTATCATGATTCTGTAGCACCGCCAGTCACATAAAAAAGTGTGATTTCTATCATTTAATTGCAAACACTGACTGCATTTAATCATATTTTCAAATTTATTGATATTTATTGATGCTGTCATTGAACAAACAGTGGATAAAGTAGTAAAAATAACATCTTGACAATAAATCAACTTATAAAATATTTAAAAAAAAATTTTTTAATAAATAATACTATAAATTCCCAGCCCTATGTTTTAGCCTTTATTTCAATTTTAAAAAACTATAATTACAAGTTTTGGTACAGGGTTCCTATTGCAAAAGTATAATTTTAATATGATAAATGTGATTAAAATGCATCCTATGCCCTGCTGTTTCTTAAAAATATTTGTTTACAAAAAACAAAGTTTATTACAAAAGAAAAATCCTATAACCGCTAAAATCTTACGCTTCTAAATTTTTGTTTACATTTTGTGAAGAAGGAAGTTGTGCATATGTCTTCTTCAGATGTTTTTGTGTGGCTTACTTTAATTGTTCTTGGCACAGCGCCACCACAGGTGAGGGTGCGAACTGTTATTTCAAAGTTTGTTTGATACAGTATAGTGTGAAAGTGAACAGCACCAGCTGAAAACGTAACAAATGTCTACTGGACTATCAGGTGTGGGAAAAAACCCTAAAACAATCCACCAGTGTCTAAAATTTCCTTCTGCTCTTTAAATAGAAATCAGAGGTAGAAAAGTATCTTATCAGATTGTGCCGAGTTTATTTAACAGGAAAAGGACATGTCACTCTGAGGCTCTCCTGTTTTTGTCCATTTTTTTTATTCTTTTCCTCTGAAGTGAGTTAATATCAACAGCTTGGACTTGTAATTCCCCCTAAGGGGTCATGCAGTGTGTGTCCCTGTACACCACAGATGGCACTTTGCGTCACTGGGTTTGCTTTTCTCCAAACCACAGAGAGGCCACAGCGGCGATGCAAAGGGGGAAACCCTCAATGCGTTGGCGATTCTTCGAGCATTCCTCCCTGCTCTTCGTCACTCGGGCCGGACCAGGAAAAATGTTGACTTTTTTTACAGTCGCTCTTTTCAAGCATGGCTGGACCTGACGTGATGGGCAGGGCCTTTCATATATTCTTACTTTT